CGTCTTGCAGCCTCGCAGCGTGACTTTTGGAGGAAGTCTCGTACGAAGAGTGTGCCCTACAGGAGTGTCCCACAAGAGTGTCCTACAAGAGTGTCCCACAAGAGTGTCCTACAAGAGTATCCCACAAGAGTGTCCCGTAGCTGCAGCCGCAGCAGCCGCAGCAGCCGCCGCCGCAGCCTCCGCAGCCTCCGCAGCCGCAGCAGCCGCAGCAGCAGCCGCCGCCGCAGCCGCAGCCGCAGCAGCAGCAGCAGCAGCAGCCGGGCAGCAGCCGCAGCCGCGGGCAGCAGCAGCAGCAGCCGCGGCCAGGAACCAGCACCAGCAGCAGCCGCAGACATGCTACCTTTCGTCCACCTCCGTTTCCTCAAGTTTAGGGTGCTAACAAAAGCTCGAAATTTTGACATGAATGTCCAGTTATCCGCATATGTAAACAGAGTGACATGACAATTGGACATTCTGCGAGAATAGACAGCGGCATTGCACAAACAGATAAGGCATCCCCTCTGGCGCACCTGTTGTGGATGGCATCGGTCGACTCCAAGCCTTTAATTGGAAGAAAACGCTCCATGTTTTAAGCGAGCGAATCCAGAAGCCAATAATGGAAGGTGGAACCCCCATATGAATCAAGAGGCGCTTTGCCATTTGACTTGGTATGAGGGTGAAAGCTTTAACCAAGTCCAATGCAAAACCTCCTTGAGGAACATTCGTACTGTGTTTGCTCGAGTAAAAATTGTTGCTGTACCGTGATATCCTTCACGGATCGAAAGGGCAAACCGCCCGCAATTTTGGGATCCCATGTTTTTCCCCACGCCGCAAGGCCTTGATCTGCAATCATCTTGGAAGAAAGACGTGGGATACCATCTGAGAATGAGTTAGGGTGTGCGTTTTTGGCTAGCAAAATGACCTGTGCCAACATGTGTGTTTTATCATAGTTCGAGGGCCATATTTGACCAAAAATGGCCGCTAGATCTATAACTGCTGGAATGGAAGTAACTTGAGTTCCTGGGCCCGCCAACCATCTGCCCCGCGAGCCTTATACGATTTTCATTCTCTCGATCGTATCTCTAATTAAATGAGGATCGTCACAGGTGATATGAAGTTGAGGTTGGGCGGGTATATCTTCGAGTATCTCTTCCAAAGCATTCTCCCAGGCCGAGTCATCTTGCGCTTCATGCACAGTTTCCCTTCCCCACATCGGCATCCAAAATTGAAAGAAGTGCCTGGACATCTGGTTATATAATATCTTCCGTATATTGCGCTTGGTGCAGTTGGCCTCTGGTAGGAATATCGCAAGCGGTTGTTTGAATCTTAAGCAGTCGACCCTCCTGCACTAAAATCTCAGCCTCATGATTTGTTCAAATGATGCCCTGCCCGGACGAAAGACCGTGTCATCCGTTTACAAAAGGCGTGTATGGCCTTTGGATACCCGGATACGTTTTGCTTCAAACGTGCCCGGACAAGGGAGTCCAGGCATTATTTTTTGTTCTGGGTCCCTGAGAGACTGGAATATCAATGCCCCATTTTTGTCCTTTTGATCAAGAGAAATCCAATGGAGCTTTGCATATTCCCCAAAACTTGGGAGGCAAATTTTTCTGGGGACATCGAATGGGGTCTTGGCTATGCATGACTATAACTCTGAGTGTCGAATCAACTGCCTTTTCAACTGTCTGTCACCAGATCTCGAACTTACGTGCCGAGGTTGTAGTTGATTCGATAACATGGTGGATTTTATTGCGCATGGCATGATAGCGATACTGTTGATGGAAGACAGTGGAGTCCAACGGGAAAACAGACCAGTCTTCTGGTACATAAAGATTCACAGTATTCTGTCTATGTTGGGGAATAGCAAATTTGAAATAAATCGGAGAGTGATCGGCGAAAATGTGATCTGGGCCAACCCACATGGCCGCGACTGCGGCACCCTACCTATCTTCTTTTCCAGTTGTTGATTTGGTTCTATTCGCGCTTGTTCTCAAACAGTTTTGAAGCCTTGTGGTAATGTTGGCAAAAGCCCTGGTGGCTACCTACTGGTACCGTGCAATTAGAAACTGACAGATATGCATAGAGCATCATATAACATGCAATATTTACATTGGAAGAGAACCACTTACAAACCGTTCTTTGGACTGCAGAGGCCGTCATGGACCCTTGTGGTCTCTTCATGAGTGGCATCCATGTGTCCACCAAGACTATTGAGGCACCGCGGAATCTGTGCAATGTTTATCAATTTTTCAAACATGCAAAAGAAACGATATTGTAAACACTGTTGCTGTTGACAAAGGCCATGTTTGGCATTGCAGTGGTCGTGGTGATGTGCCTTGAACTCTTCAGGCTGTGTGTCGTTTGTTGTGGAATTGGCTGTCTCAGAATGATATAGCAGCTCTAAGAGTAGGAAACATCTCAGCAGCAAGAACGTTTCGGCAAAGTTGATTTGACTGTTTTGCTTTCCGCCCGTTGATTGTCTAGTCTACGGTGCGTTTCAGGTTCTTTTTGCCTGGATGAAAGTTACCTGCTTTGAACAAACGAGTGCCCGGAAAAAGCACGGATATGCTGCCATGTTAAGCTTGAGGCACAGGTCCCCTGTGGCAGTGAAGTGTATACAGTATACATGGGTAGCAAGGGAACATGCTCTCAACACTCCTTTTGTTGTATTCTTACGTGTTACGGATGTGTCTATGTATACAACCCATACATATATGTATACGGTATATATAAGTTGTGCATACATAGCTAGATATCGGACTTTTGAGTTGAGCATCGAGGAACAAAAACACGGCTATACATTACAGTATCTAGTAGATAGTGATGCACATGCAGTGCTTTAGGAAACAAAACACATACAGTTGCAGCACATTTTACTCTCTGTCACTCAGACTACCGCGCCAAGGGTTTGCGTTCAGAAGAGGAAAAGAGAATGAAAAGTAGGTAAGAGCCCCGTCAATAAGGCCCCCTGTGAGAAGAGAGCTCGTCACTGTGAGCGTGGATACAATACAGCTTTTTCAATGGATTCAGGTATATTCAATATAGCAAAATATATAGCACAATCAGGAGGACACATATAAAGATGCAATAAAATTAATGAGGGGGTGGAATTGTCAAAGTTGTGATTTTGCGAGGCTTTGATGTATTTGTTGATGATATGACATTGATAGGATTGTGAAAGTTGTGATGTTGTAAGGTTTTGCATTATTTGTAGCTGGTAAACAGATTAGATTTAATGTTTAATTATGTATTTAACAAGTTGAATTAAGTATTTACTTAAACACTTGTATGTAATTCATGTCCATGCCAAATCCTAGGCAAATTTGCTTTTAGATTTATTTTGTGAATTGTGTTGCTCTTATTGAATGCAATTTGAGAAGGACATCAGAGTCAGAAGGTAAAGAGTTGCAAATCCTAAATCAGGTTCAAAAACCTCTATGATGAAACGTGTACCAAACTGTAATCTCACATTCTTTCGCGAAAGCCAAAACGCAGGTCGCGAAAGGTTCGCGAAAGCCCCACGAAAGCCCTCCAGAACAGCGTCGCGAAAGCTTTCGCGAAGGTCGATTTTCTTGTACATGTCATGTGTTGTTTATGTAGGCGACCATATTTTTATGTAGGCTGCCGCAGCAGACCAGCCAGCAGCAGCAGCACTCAGGGGAAATTCGAAACACCCAGACGAATTTCCGCGAAAGCCTCGCGAAAGAACCGCGAAAGTCGATAATCTCCGGGAAAGGTAGTCCCCCCCATCTGGCCCCAGCAAAAATGTTTCCGCAAAAAACGGCGCAAGCTGCAAGGACTGACAAAGGGCCCCAAGTCTGAGTCGACCTCCTCCCCTGGAAGTTCATCATCGTTTTCCTCCTCTTCTGATTACAACAATAAAACTTGAGCAAATTGCTTGGACATTTGACTGGTCTGCATGGAATCTAGCAACAGCCACTTACAGTGTTTGTGTCATTTGCTTTGAACGCTACTGTAACCTTTTTGACACCTCTACCTATTTAAAGGATCGATAGGCTATGTTTTCACAGTTTGTATTCTTATTGAAAATCAACATCGAGCAAGCTTTTCCCTTGGTCCACATGAGATGTTTGTTCTCATTGAGCTTACCTTCAGACACCTGCGTTATCATTTAACAGACGTGCCACCCCAGCGAAACTCCCCACCTCACTATGTCTTCGGCACAGATCAGCTTCCAAGGAGGCAGCCTCAAAGCAACAACTCACACGATGCAAGTAAAATAAAATTAAGAGTAGTGGTATTTCAAGATCGCCAAAGCTCCCACTTATGCTACACCTCCTAAGTCATTTCACAAAGTCGGGCTAGAGTCAAGCTCAACAGGGACGGCCGTTCATCGTCATGGAATATTTTTGGGTGGGCCTCCAAAAATACATAGCCGATTGCAATTGAGTTCTTGACATGAACCTATAGAACATGTAGTATGTATTTGGGGAGATCTTCTGGAGGGAGCTGCGTCACAAAGATAGCTGCATGTGCAACCTATGTAAAAGTTGTGTTTGTTTGGGTGCCAGGCGCCCACTTGATAGCTGGCACGGAGAATTTCTTCAGCCGCGAACTTAATTTACATGTGTTTGCATTTCAAAATCCCACGTTAAAACAAAGCTTGCCACACCGCGAGGTCAGCTGGTAAGTACAAGAAACTATTGCGCGAATGCGCCCCAGAGGCCCTGGTCAAGATTTTGCAGTTATGTGCAGCTGCATGCAGCTGTGAAAGATTCAAAAAAGAACATGCATCTGAGATCATCTGAGTAGTTGCGCAGTCTTTCGCTACAACTTTCTCAGGCAGCTGGCGCTCTATGCTGTGTTGTTTTGGTTGCCATGCTGCGATTTCGCGGCGATACAATTAGTGGAACGCTCGACGCGCATTCCCTAGAGGCCCAGGGCCTATTGACAACTGGGTCAGGGAAGTTGGAAAGACAGTCTATGACGTACTTGGCCAAATTGCAGGTGCTTCACTTCTTTTTCTGGTCTTATGTTTTGTGACTACTGCAGCTGTTGAACTGTTGCCGGCCGGTTTTGCCCTCGTTAGCACTCATAGTACCAGAACTCACCATCCACCCCTACCAATCAAATAGAGAGATCATTCGCTGCGGGTTTAGATTAGGGTTTCGGGTTATCCGCATGAAGTCACTGCTGTTCTCTCGGATCTATTGACAACTTGGTGATTGTCGAACCGTAAAAATAGTCTCTTTTAGATTTGCGTTTGTATTGCGATTTACAGTGATAGATCTCCGCAAAATTCAGTAGATTTGTACAAAAGACAGCCACCCAATGTGACACGTCTGGCAGCTGGTCGTGCTAAACAAAATCAAGAAAGAAAACAGAATGCATGCGATCCGGTGAAAAGTCTGCGCGCATGCCAAACTGAGGGACAAAGACTTTACTGAGCCAACTCTGTAGATTTATAAATTGAGAGGCGTGAGGGTTGAAATGCTTGGCCCATCCTCATAGTATTGGCTCGCCCAGGAATCACAGTGTGCCCTCACAGGCTTTCTGGGGCACTCAATTCCCTATAAAAAGACTGCAATAGGTGCTTTTCCCAACTCGTGGCAGATCTTTAACTTTAGACAAGCAACGAAAGGCCATTTCGCAGGTGGCAACAAAATGTTGCTTATGGCGAAGTCGTCGGAGACGTTGATGCACCAAGGCAAGTTGAGGCTGACCCTGTCTCCGTTGTCGTCACTTGGTTTGCGCAGTCAAAAAAGTGTCAGTGCAATTCCAGAGAGGTAGGCGATGGTGGCCGTCAAGGTCCACCAACCGTACCACACTCGGTTGGCACGATGTTGAAGGATGGCTGGATGGATGGATGGATTTGCAGGACGCCGAAAATGTCTTTCATTGCGCTACCCGCTCATGTAGAGCGGTTCTACCAAGAAGAGCCAGCGTTATGCCGCCGTCGTGAGGAAGTGCAGCAGCCGTGCCAGTTGCAAACTAGGCTCAGGAGCATCAGCAGCCTTCAGGTAGAGGATCACTGCAGTCTGCTTAGTCCAATCTGGTAGATGTTCATGAAGGCGTGATGGTCGATCATCATCCTTTTCAAGCCAGGTGCCGTCCTCCAGATGGAGGAGGCAGACATAGTGGCCACCACGGATCGGAATGACAATGTTCTCAGCCAGGATGACATCCGGGATCTGGCAAGTGTCCCCATGACACAACAGACCTCGGTCCAGGTGCAGGCACTTGCAGGGAGTGTGCTTCAAGAAGGCTGAGCGCCGAGCGCATGTCCAAACCAAACAGCCAGCTCTCAACGCAGTGATTGATGTCCATCTCTTCCAACCAATTGAAGGACAGCAAGCAATGTGGCCGTCCTTTTTCATGAGTCACAGCGTGAGACCGTGAGACCCAGCATGGAAGTGTTGCTCCCATTAGTGGTCCAGCAAGGGCAACTGTCCCCATTCAAGCGCCCCCCGGCTCCACAACATTGTTGATGTGGCCAGGAACCCCAGGTGTGCATCAACGGTTGTATTGCCTCCTGCCTTGTGTTTGCGTAGCTTTCCAAAATGGCCATCCAGGCAGCTGGCTGAGGGCCCCATACCTCAGCTGGTAGAGCCAGCAGGTGGTTCCTGAAGCAAGAGCCAAAGTAGCCCAGTAGTCACCAGCAGTCTCAAGCAAGTAGCCCATTGATATAGGACCAGCAGTCCGGGTTGTTGAGCCGAACTTGACAAAGAGCTTGTCTCAAGTGACTCAAGTGAGGACGGTCAGGAGGATGTAGAGACAGCATCAGCTGCCCTTCTTGCCCTTGTTCTTGGTCTCGGTCCCTGGGTGTTGTCCCTGGGTGTTGTCCGGGCGGATCTGCTGTTGTAGGGAGTTGGCCATGTTGCAACGTCGGAGCATTGTGAGGTTTCATAGTCATTTGGAGGAGTTGCCACACACACTGTTGTAATTAGGCTAGTTTGGAGAGCAGATTTCAAAGCCTCATCTCCCTCAGGGCCAGTAAAGCTTCCCGAATCTCTGGAACGTCTCGATAAGGGTCTTCATAGGCAAGCTCTCACTTTCTGATTGATCTCCAGTTTGTTCTGGCCGTGGTTCCGTTGCAGGTAAGGCCAGGTGCCGTCGGTCAAGATCACTTGTGTGGCAACAGTCTGCTGCCACGGCGCAGAGTTGTGATCCATCTGGGAGATCTTCTGGCACCTTCTCGAAGATACCAGGACCATCCTCAGCGGCAAGGATGGAGGTTTGGAGCTTTGCATTTCCTCCGTCCACGTAGTGGTGGCTTTCACCATGAGGGGTTGAATGCCCGTCTCGCCCGTTCTTGCCAGGCTCTGAAGCTGGTCTTCGTGTTTAAGCATGAGCTGAATCATGGCTTTCACCAGTTGAGTGACCCATTCGTTGTCAGCACTTGGTTTGCGCAGTCAAAAAAGTCTCAGATATCATCAGATATCAGATATCCCACTGCCATTCCAGAGAGGTAGGCGATGGTGGCCGCCAAGGTCCACTAACCGTACCACACTCGGTTGGCAACGACGTTGAAGGATGGCTGGATGGATGGATGGATGGATCTATGGATCTATGGTTCTATTTGATTTTTTCCCGAAAGCACCTGCGAAGGGTTATTCCTTAAGCACTGCTGCCTATTTCATCTTCCTTAATCTCTTTCTCTTACTTCATCTTCCCCACTCTCTCTTCCTTACTCTCTTTCTCTTACTTCATCTTCCCCACTCTCTCTTCCTGACTCTCTTTATCCTACTTCACCTTCCTTACTTCATATTCTTTACTAACTTTCTCCTACTTCACCCTCACAACATCATCATCTAATCATCACCTCATAGGTTATTAATCTCATATCATATCATATTATATCATATCAGGTTATAATATCAATATCATATCACATCACATCAATGTCATAACATATCATATCATATCATGTTTTAATATCATATCACATCACATCAATGTCAGATCATATCATCTCATATCATGTGATAAAATAATATCACATCACAACATAACATATGAAGTAGAAGTATCAGATCAACAATATCAAAGTACATCAGAAGTAGATATTGATAGGTAGGTATTGATAAGTGGGTATAGACAGGTAGGTGTAGGTAGGTAGGTGTAGATAGGTAGGTGAAGATAGGTAGGTGAAGATAGGTAGGTGTAGACATCTTCCTTAAGACACCTACCCAACTTCACCTACCCAACTTCTTCTTTATTCTTCTCTTTAGGCGGCGGGGCGGTGCGAGCAGGTCTTACGAAACGCAACCCTCTCGTGGAATCGTGGCCATCGATCGCGCGCGCGTGTGGTGAGACGCGAATCGCGTTTGTCCGTGAGCAACCCTCTGCGGAGATCGTGCGTGTCGATCGCGCGAACGTGTGGTGAAACGTACATTTTTGGTGTGCGCGGTGCGTTCCGCCATTATAATTCTGGTGACAAGGTTTTGTCGATTTTGCGTTTCCCCATTGTAATTCTGGTTTCAAGGTTTGCCCTCGAGCAACCCTCTGCGGAGATCGTGCGTGTCGAGTGCACGAACGTGTGGTGAAACGTACATTTTGTCTGAGCGCGGCTGGGCGCACCATTATAATTCTGGTCACAAGGATGTCGCCAATGTGCGGTCCGGACCGCATACTCATTGGGAAATGCGACTCCAAGGTCTGTGCCCGGTCTGTGCCCGGATCGTTCCCCCATTATAGTTCTGGTCGCAATGATGTCGTGAATGTCACCTCTGAACTTTCTACAATGCGCGCTCTGGACGTCATACTCGTTGGGAACCGCGATTTCATGGTTTGTGCTCGGATCGTTTCCCCATTGTAATTCTGGTCACAACGATGTCTCCAATGTGTGCTGTGGACTTCATACTCGTTGGGAAATGCGATTTCATGGTCTGTGCCC